CTGATTACAATGGCTAGTCAGGCAAACAATTACATTAAGCCATTGGAAATTGACGATCGGACTCGATATATGGTTAAATATAGCAGTAGGCTATCAATTTTCCTAGATGAGAGTAACATCTACGTCACTTTACGGCCCCGCCCACTTTTTGGGGAAACAACGCTGTAATTTGAATGGTGATCGAGCCTGAAGCCACAGAGCTCTTCTTATATTGTCCTTTGATCTTAAGGCACGGACACACCAGGCGTGTGGGCGTCAGGCTGACGATGAGCATCGACACGCACTCAGATTGGTGTGTCCCGCACCGTCGGGTCTTTTCAGCCGGGCCGACGCCTTTTCCGCCGAAAACCGGCTAAAATGATTGGTCGTGCTTTTTAAACAGTACTACGGCTTCCACAGATGACATTTTTGTATGGATTTTTTGTCAAAGCACTTAAGATATTCATTGCTATCGGGATGTTAAGAGCATTCCATGGAATATAACAAAAAGTACACCTCGAGCCCGTTTCTCAAACTTACCTACCCCACCTTTAAGGAACTCAGTCTATAACAAAAAAACGAATTATACTGATACCTTACAGATTACATTTAATTATACTGCATTTCACAGTACTATAGAAGCTAAGTTGCTAAAATGAAACATCTCAGTAGGGGATGACAAATGTTTCCTGCAACATCAAAATTACCTAAATATAGGCTCTGCTTTTACAATCCCATCAGGGATAAAGAGTGAGAGTGTTGTAGCTGCATGTAACAGTGCTTTATCTGGTGATCAAGTCAGTGAGCGCTGAATGTATGGCATGGGCAAACAGCAATCTGCAAAGCTGAGCGCAGCATGGGCTTAATACCATCAAGTGAAAGTCAAGATGAGAATGAAGTGAACAAAATTCATGGAAGAAATAATACAATTTTTGTCTGTAATGTTGGATCAATTATGGAGCTAAAGATGTATCTGAAATTATTTTGCTTACTTACATTTAAGTCAACTTTAACCTCTGTCTTATAGAGACAAAATAGTAAAGTATCCCCATTATGTTTTTTTCAAATCCTCTCTCCGTCCGCTCACCTCTCCTGAACCCCGGCGTTCAGGCTGAAGAGGGAGCGTTTAGGTCCACATGACTGGCTCTCCATACCCGTGCCTGGAGGCCAGGACTGGTTGGTGGTGCCCGGCTTGGAGCCAGAGACAATATACCAGTTCAGCGTTCTGGCCCAAAACAAGCTTGGCACAGGCCCTTTCAGCGAGGTTGTCACTGTGAACACACTAGGTGAGGAGACTTATGAATATCTACTGCTGTTAGTCTGAAAAAAGCGATACAATTATTTATTAAGCAGCTTAGATTAATTATCAAATCTGATTGGTCAATTTAGACATTACTGTATAAGGTTTGTTCTTTTTGTGTAGCAGACCGCTGTATAACAGACCGTTGCTAACCACGCTCTGATCATACACTGTAGGACCAAGTCCAGTCATATCCATCCTCAGTCCACATTTAAAAATGTAAGCTTTGGCTCAAAAACGCATTCGTTTTTTCAATATGAAATTGGAAAACACCATGGAATAATTGTTTAATATTCTGTTTATATGTATAGAGCACCGTTTCAACTGAGGCCAGTAAAGTAAAGAAAAAGAAAAGAAAAAAAAGGTTAGGGCATGGAAAAAGCAAGAGGAAACAAGGCTCTTTTTTGATGCCCAGAAATGACCAAACAGCAAAATAAGAAGAAAAGGGAAACTACAGGCCAAAGGCTGCAGGGTGTCTGCAGATACGGAGACCACCTCACAGGTCCAATGTTTCATCAAGGACGATTGTGAGGGATTATTTTTGGATGAGTCTATACATTGTCTTTTTAGGAATGCTGCATATTATACCTTTAAACTAGGCTTTGTTGAATCACTCTGCATTACTCACAGCAGTGGGGAAAGGGAAATGTACTAGGGCTAAATAAAGCTGTCACTTAAAAGATGAGTGACATACTCATTTATGATTAATATTCACGCATCATCACCTTTTGTGTCAGCCAAGAAGTAGAACGAAAGAAGACAAAGCCTTTAGACAGGGGCTGCTTTTGGATAGCATCATGCAGGCCAGAAATTGACTTTCAGGATGCGAGGATTCAGAGTCTAAGTAATGTAAAAGATGTGTGTGAATGTGCATGTGAATGTATTAAAGATGCATTTGGTATAAGAGCTTAATCACTTCACACTTTAGTTGTCATACATGTTAGTGTCAAAGTGTAAAGGAGGATGATTCACTGGTATCATGCTGGTGAACAGAACACTGAATATATAACCGAGTTGCTCTCACACACTTTTGTGCTCTTTCAGTATTTCCTATAAGTACCCCTGAACCATTGGTGCTGCTTACCCCACCACGGTGCCTCACAGCCAATCGCACACAGCAGGGAGTTCTGCTCAACTGGATCCTGCCTGCCAATCATACAGCACCGATCCAGCATTATGTCATGGAGTTCCGCCTGGGGGAGCGATGGGAGGTCTTAGACGACAGCATTCCTGCTGGGGAGACAGACCTGCTCGCCCGAGACCTCATCCAGGTACCAGACAGGTCATGGACTGCAGACAGAGTATCAAACAAGACCCTCATCTAGAGGGATGTCTGGGCTGTAGTGGAGGTTAATTATAATGTCTACTCTAAGACAATTATTTTAGAACTTCTGCTATGTCTGTTATTCTATGCTCATTTTAGCCAGCAAATGGCTGTTACTGCTAAGCATTTAACAATAATTAATAGCATTTTTAAGTGTAAAATATGGTCAACATCCCAGCTTCAGCTCTATTAAAATAACAAATCTTTATTTTTTTATATATAAGAGCTTGATATACATTATAACAAGAAGTTTCAGGTGTTTTTCAACCCCGGTCACCTCTGTGTTTTTTTTTTTGCGGAAATCCAGCAAAAGATGGTATAGTTCCAAGCAGCATGAGAAAGTCTTTCAAATAAACTTAATTATACACGCCACCTGAAATGCTTGGCTAAGCATGCTTGCTTTTTTGTTAGCCAACTGCCATCAATCGACTGCTGACACTGTGAGAAAGCTGTGCTGCTTGCTGCTATATAGGTTGTTGAGACACATTTCCCAAATGTGAGTTATAATAATCCATGAACAGAATAGACACTTTATTTACTTTTAAAATAATTCAAGAACATCCTTTTTATAATAAACATCCAGAAAAAAAAGTTGCCGCCAATTAGTATTTGTGATAGGTACAGTTATTTTTCTCCGATTAAAAGTTCCATCGTTTCACTTCACTGCTTTTTAACTGACTGTAAAATAGCCTCAAGTGTTTAAACATTAGAGGCTCTCTTTTAGATTGATGTCTGTGAGTTCTCATTTTAAAACCTCTTGGTGTTTGTGACAGTAGTAACCTTGATCCGTGTCTCAAATGATGGCTCCTGCCATTTGTGTGATTTGTTCCTGGAATGTCCTTGAAAGGTCTTCAAATGTGATGCTTAAGAAGTTGTGGGAATCCTGAATATTAAGCTGCCATATCCACCTTGGTTGTCATAGTAACATTGCAGGTGTGCACATGCTGACTTGGCTCTCTTTCGGACATCTCTGGGTTTTACTTGGTGGCATTTTTTATTCTTGCCATAACACGTTTTGTTAAACCTGCAAAACACACACATGCTTTTACTTGCAGAGAGGAGAGAGAATAGCATCTGGAACATGAGAGGCAATGTAATACACTGTAAGAATATGAATAATGAATACAATACGCTTTTTAGATGACAGTGAATTCACTACAGCAGAGAAAAAATCAATAAATCCTTGCTGATTTATGCGACACAATACTTATTTTTCTGCATTTCACATCTTTGCTTATGTCGGGTAATCTCCTTCCATATAATGTTTGAGCTTCTTTGTATTCTAACTACCACTGTCGGCTCCATGCAGATGCTATTATCTCTCCTTCCATTGCACCACCAACACCCACTCAGTCTCACCAGCTCTCTCGACACACACAAAGCACCTCGCTTGTTTAACTTTTTAGCTTCAAATCTCTTTCTGCATCAGATGAGGTAATTTGACCAGAGGGACACTCTGTTTGGTTGTCTGCGTATAAGTGGTGCTGTGTTTGGTACCTTTTTAAATTCAAATCTCAGTCTTGAGCAAGACACCGACTGGATCTGTGCCAGCTCCACAGCTGCTGTGCTGTTGATGACCTGCACTGTGGAGCGCAGCCAACACCAGCACAATGAAAGGGGTTCTAAAAGGCTTAATCTGTTGTTTCATCAGGACTTAGTCATAGGTGATTTATCAATTTTAAGACGCATTTGGCTATTTAAAGAAATCAGCGCATCTGCTCAAGTTTATTTCCTATGGAGACTTTTTTAATATTCTGTTCCCCCTTACAATATATCATATTTATACCTGAAATGATTTTACAATGGTACGCGCAATCATCCATGTTTCTCTTAGTTGGATGTGTACAGATATTCAAGTTTCAAACATCTTTTGAGTTTATATATGTAAAAATTGGGACAAGCAGCAGATGTTTGATATTCCGATGATGGGTCAAGCTTCATAATGCTTGTTTCTACTTTCCCATGATGCAGAATTAATGAAAGATTCAAACACAGATGGATAGACAGAAAGCAGATCGAACAGTCAAACAAATCCAAGAGGGGCATACTGGTCAGCAGGTGAGGAACAGGCAACAAAAAGCCGAAATAGATCGAGGAGACGTTCAGAAGGCTGGAAATTACAGGCATGCGCAACATTGTCAATCTGTCAAAGAGAAGGTGGAGATGGGCAGGTCAAAATATTGCAGGGCTGATGAGAAACAGGTGAGCAGGCGAATGGGGGAGTCAAGTGACTTGTGTGAAAGCATGTGAGAGGGACAGTAAGGCAGAATGGGAAAGCACGACTGTGGAAGTCTTTTTGACACTTCCTGCCTAATTATTCCTTCAAAGTCCAAAACCCTAGTTCTAGCGCCAATTTTCTGTTTTTTCTGTGCTGTGTCTCTTTATACATCCATGTGGTGAACACAATTTAATAAACACACCACTATTCTGGTGTCAAAAAACATTAACTTCTTTGGTTAATTAAACAGTCTGTAATGATTTGCTACTGCTAACGTCAATAATGCTAGCTAGCTAACAGTAGCGAGAGACACATCATATTATTGTCCATTCCAATCAAAGATAACCCTAATGATATCACTATGACATCATGAGTGTGATTTTTGACAGATTTTCGAACCCCCTTATAGCTTCAGGAGTTATTCTTGATTTCCTTAATTAAGTGCTTAATAATCTAATCTTTTTTTGTAGAATTATTGGATTAAATAAAAGCCTAAATCATGCCAAACTTTGCAATGCACAACTCGTAGTTTCCATTGTGCCATCCATGTAGGACCAATATATTTTTTTGAAGGCAACACTAAATGATATCAGTGAGTGAGCTCCAAATCCATGTCTATCAGCTGAGACAATAACAAAATAAAACCATATGAGTTCACCCTCTGAATGACCTCTGTCTGTTCTCCTGCTCTTAGGAGGCCTGGTACGAGTTCCGCGTCATGGCCGTCATGGATGACATCATCAGTGATCCTAGTAACGTAGTAGGTGTGTCCAGCACAGGTGAGACCTTACATCTCATATTAAATATACAAAAAATACACATATATAAAAACACAGATTATACAGTATACAGTGCATTCATGTCAAAAAATGTGTTACTCAGAGAAAAAAGGGCAGGTCTTCTTTAAACCTCTGGATTCAAACCAACAGCCTCTTGCAGTAGCATGCGTTGCTAACCTCAGGCTAACTTCACAGTCCTGATCTGACCAGAGGCGGTAGATGTATTGCACACTCGGCAACTGCAACTTTACATTTTTCCCACTCAGCAGCACTATTAACATAAACTCTCTTTACATGCACACTCCTTTGTACCATCTTTAAAAGTATGACATCATCCTTCCGTCTGCCTCAGTGGATTGCACTGGGCTGCTTTTTGCAACAAAGAAATCAGAAATCAAACGAAAATAAATCAAAGTCAGTTTTTTTTTTGGTCCCAATAATATGAGGCTGTTTTAAATCTGAAATGAAACCCTGAAACTGTGATGTCACTCCCCTGCAGAGGTCACTGGGCACGCATCATTTGATAAGAGGAGCTGTTGGTCGCGTTTATCATGAAGAAAATTTGCAGTGGTAGAACGTTGCTGCCCCCTAGTGGCAAAGCTGGAGAGTAATGCAATATCAGAAGTTGCTGCTCATCTTTCTGTTGTTCTTGAACTAATTTGACTGCGTTTTCGCTGCATATTGTCAAAGCATTAACACAATTGTATGTTATTTTAATAATTTGTTAAAAACAACATGTTTTGACGTTTCATGCATGTTGATAAGGTATTTTACTTATGTCCAAAAAAGTAAAATACCTACCATACCTCAGATCTCCCGCAATAAGCTCAGCAGATAACAACATACAGAAGTATAAAACAGTCATTACAGTGTACATTTACTGACTGCAGCGTTCACTGTGAGACTCTTTTCAGATAAGCAGAGAAGTAAGTTGACTTTCTGCTTAGTCATAATTGCATATACAGTTGCAAGAAAAAGTATGTGAACCCTTTGGAATTACCTGGATTTCTGCATAAGTTGGTCATAAAATGGAGGAAGCCACTGCTGTCCAGAAAAAACATTGCTGCACGTTTGAAGTTTGCAAAAGAGCACCTGGATGTTCCACAGCACTACTGGCAAAATATTCTGTGGACAGATGAAACCAAAGTTGAGTTGTTTGGAAGGAACACACAACGCTATGTGTGGAGAGAAAAAGGCACAGCACACCAACATCAAAACCTCATCCCAACTGTGAAGTATGGTGGAGGGAGCATCATGGTTTGGGGCTGCTTTGCTGCCTCAGGGCCTGGACAGATTGCCATCATCGACGGAAAAATGAATTCTCAAGTTTATCAAGACATTTTGCTGGAGAACTTAAGGCCATCTGTCCACCAATTGAAGCTCAACAGAAGATGGGTGATGCAACAGGACAACGACCCAAAGCACAGAAGTAAATCAACAACAGAATGGCTTCAACAGAAGAAAATACGCCTTCTGGAGTGGCCCAGTCAGAGTCCTGACCTCAACCCAATTGAGATGCTGTGGCAT